TTTTCAAACCACATGCGGCATTTTTTCATTATTCATTATTTATTATTTGTCTTTAAGCCACTGCTTCCACTTAAAAATCTAAATTTCCTCTTTTCTTAATAACATTTCCTTAAATTTTCATAAAATTTTCCTGGAAGCACTGAATATATTATGTCGAAAATATGCTGTCTTGTACTCAAAATTATCGAACTACAGATACAATGTTTATATGAATGCGAAATTGGCTGTTTTGCTGCTGTTGGGCGATTTGCAACTTGAAATTCTGTAATGGTTAGTTTTTTCTGCAAATAATGAATTTTTTCCTAAATAATGAAATTTTCACGCGGTAGCTTTTGAAGCACGCGGGCGCTGAACGCAAATCAGAGACTTTCATTCCCATGGCCTAAAGCGAAGTTAGCGAATACAATTTTTAATTTCTTATGTATACCTGTGTTTTTGACGTTTTCTCTTTAAAATATTTGAGCATGTACATGTATTCTTTGGATCATTGAAGGTAACATACGTCTTGAAAATCTTTGGTTTAATCTTTGGTTTAAATGTTTAATCAATAAATCTTCGGCTGTACGAAATTACAAATCGCGAACGCCATATTGTTCCAAAGCGTGGTGTCCACGCGTCACGCGTGAGATACCGTGGGATATTATAGTCATCTCACGCTGCATTGCGAAATCATTAATTTGAGTGAAATGTCGTAAAGAATCACATTGTCACGTGGTACAAATTATGTTTTTTTATTGGACAATTTGAATTTGAGGTGCGTAATCGTATAATATTTATCTTTACACGCTATATAGAACAATTGTGATATTACTTTCTAATTTTGTTTATCCTAAACCCACCCTGTCAACTTTCCCTCTGGGAGGAAACCGGAGCGCCGGGAGAAAACCCACAATTTTTGGCAAAGTTCTGCTTCCCTCCCTAACACGGAAGCGGAAATAGAGAGCCTGTCTTGCGAGGTTGATGAGTCTTGCAGCGACAATCGAACCCACGATCTCAGAGGTGAAACTGCGCTTGCTTTGACGACTGCACCACGCGAAGCACACGTATGTATTATATTTCTGCGCGTCTGTCTATTTCAAAACTTCAGAAAAGAAAACTCCTACTGATCCATGCAAACAATATTTCTGAAGAAATATTTCCAAATTTATAAACAAGCTGTTAATTAAATAGCAGGTTAAACTGATTTTACCAAAGGTTTAGCGGCAACCCAGCAACGGAGGATGCGGGGCTAGTATATATAAACAGGAGGTGGGGAGCACGATCATTGTGCAATTCATGCCCCCATCTATAAATGTGCGTTTTCTGTGGTCTTTGCGTGGAAAATTATTTACTGCTCTAGGATGTGACAAGAGGTCAAGGCACGCGCGCTCTTGGAATATGTTTGTTCCGTAGCATTCTTCCTCCACTTCCCCAAATAATTTTACATCGGATTTGAAAGAATTAGAAAAGAATTAGTGTAACGAAGCACTCTGAACACTTTAGGGAAAGTACATTTATTATGCTGACGGGGGGGGGGGGTGAAGATGTTAAGGGGGGCATCGAAATACTTTCTGGCAATAAAGGGGGAGGGCTATAAACTTTTCAAAGTTTTGGTCCAGCAGTGGCCTGTGTGTTCACTCCCACCATGGTTTGGAAACTCATTAGAATAACAATATAACCAGAGGTGCCTAAATTACTTTGAATTTGTACCGACTCGAGTAAAAGTAGAAGTAATTAACAATAAAACGACTTGAGTAAGAGTAAAAAGTACTGGAGGCAAAACGTACTTAAGTAAAAAGTACAAAGTATCCTTAAAAAATACTTGAAGTACAAAGAAAAGTAAAAGTACTATTGTCTATAGCGTGTAGGTGGGGGCGGGGGGGGGACTTATCCAATGGATTGATACCATAATATACAATATTTCACGTCATGGTCTACTTTCCAGACCCCGTTGAAGATTATACAATTACTTTATGGTTTTTACACGCGGTAATCAGTTGCGAGAGTTAAAAAAATAATGCTTATATGTAGAGGTCCTATTACCTGACCGAAAATTAAAATAAATCAGGAATAAATCACGTAAAATTAAACAAATGTGAGAAAGTAACGAAATACTTCGCCATAAAATGAAAATAACGAAGTACAACATTACTTCTTAAAACGACTTTGTTCCAAGTAAAAGTACTCCAGAAAAAGTTTACTTTGTTACATGCTGACTTCTCAAAAATAGTACTCAAGTACAGTAACGAAGTACATTTACTTCGTTATTTGACACCACTGAATATAACTCATTATCTATATGTTTGTGAACAATAACATTTAAAAATTTGATCTTTTCACCGTTACGTGCGTATTGAATTTTTGCCCGACTAACCAATAGCAATGTTTTAGGAAAGTTACCTATCCATTACCAGGGTAAATTGAAAATTGCTATTGGTGGACATGGCAAAAATATAATACATATGTGACGGTGAAGGAACATATTTATGAATAAACGTTGACTAACATAGATATTAAATGAGTTATATTGCTATTCTAATGATTTCCAAACCATCTATTCTATATTAACTGGCATGGGGGAGCTCCACATGGAATACGTAAAAGAAAGCGGCAAGACGCCTGTCAAAAATATATGCAAAAGCACCAATGCTTCAACTTTTCATTCTGTTTCTACGAAATTTCCATGAATATTGAACATATCGTTCTTACAAATCGTATGTTTTTGTTTTTGGAATTGCTGCTTTTTGGCGGGTAAATTATGTCACAAACTTGGTGCCAAAAAATTAAAAATTAGCTATTGGTGATTTTATAAATCCATTTAGAAGAGCAGACTAAGGGTTCTATAAAACTGAAATTTGATTCTAAGTACAACCATTTTATGGGAAGATATAGCGATACAAATGTAGAAATATCCGCCATATTGTTACTAAAAATAGAACAAAATGGCAGATTTTTAGAAATTTAAGTCATTATATCTTCGCAAGGAATGGTTGTCAGAGGGGTGTGGTAGGGGGTATAAAACCCCCTACTGCATTGAAAACCTGTAAATTTGCGATGTCACTGTAAATATACTTTGTATCTATTACATATTCACATCTATTATATTTGATCTACATAAAAAAACAAAAAATGTAAATATAGTTTTGTTAAAACATACATGGCTTCTAGGTAGACCAGACTTAATAATTTAACATTTGTAAATATTATTTCTGATAGAACCATCGTGTTTAAATAAAAATTATCCAATCTAATCTACTGTGAAATCTGGGCAAAAATCATGTAAAATTCAAGTTAAAAATTTGACATTTTTGAACACCTGAGAATGGCCAACCACACCTTGGCAGATTTATTTATTTATTTATTTATTAACTTTGCCGGCATAAAATTACACAGAGTGGCCGGGACACCGCAACAGCTTATTGCCAATTACTGCGGGCCCAATTGGATACAATCAAACAAACAACAGACATTCAACTGGACAGACTAACAAACCTACGAACAAACAATATTAGTTACTAAAAGCAGCAGGATATCGGATATGTAAGACTTCGTACAGAGTTACATTTCAGGCGTATAGTTTTAAATGTTCGAGGATTATCAGGATTATAATTAACTTCTAAAGATTTGTGATAGTATTCCAGTAAGGCTGATCTAAAGGAATTGAAGCAGTTCGTGTCATAATTTAGTTCATCTACGAGAGAGTTCCATATTCGACACGTACGTTCTGACAAAAAACGACTGCTGGTAGGTATTGGTTTTACATTTGCGGACGACATATTTAGCGTTATTACTTGCTGATGATCGTGTCGTTCTTTGCATAATATGAATGTCAGGAAGAGCAGACATTTCCACCAAACCGTGTGCGATTTTGAAGAAGAGGATCAGGTCTAGGTATTCATGCCAGTAGGATACGGGAAGAAGATGCAAGGATTGCAATCTTGTTTTATAGTCTACGTCTGTCGAGAATGGCAAGTTCAAAATATATTTTGTTGCCCGCCTCTGAGTTCTTTCTAAAATGTCAATAAGTTCAATCGTCTGCGGTGCCCAAATCTGAGAGGCATAGCCGAAATGAGATCGAACCAGTGCAAGATACAATGTTCGTCTTGGTGCAGTACTTTTGATGAACATGGTATTTCTTCTTATATAGCCTAACAGTTGGTTTGCTTTTGACGCCTGATGGTGAACTTGCGTTTTCCACGTAAGGTTTGATGCTATATATACACCAAGATCTCTTTCAGTGTCGGTTGTGTTTAATTGATGATCGTTTATCATATATGATGATGTTAGAGGATCCATTTAGATTTTGCTGGGCCGTTCCTAGGACGAATGTTCCTAATCATTGTAGATACACACTCGAAGTGGCCTGAAGTCGAAATTATGCCATCCACCACATCGACGCAGACCATTGCCCGACTCCAAACCATTTTCGCCCGATATGGAGTACCAGCACAGGTGTTGACCGACAATGGCCCGCAATTTATATCTGCAGAGTTCCAACTTAACTATTTTTGAAGACTAATGGTATCAAGCTTATTACCACGGCCTCGTTTCATCCTACAACCAACCGTCAAGCGGAACGTTTTGTTTAGAGTTTCAAACATGCTATGAAATGCGAGAAACAAAGTACATCCCAGCTGAAAACCAATATGGTAAAGTTCCTTTTGGTATACTGGAATACCCGGCCTAATACCTGGCCTTCTCGCTTCCGCCTCGTTATTTTAGGGGGAAATCGATAAGGTTTGCAGTTGACCAGGATAAAGCTGTATTGCTTGGATGATGACGTCACGTCAATTTCACAGATGGAAGCTAGTGCTAACCTTCCAGCGCGACCCAGTTCGGATATTTTCCGAAACTGACAGCCCGCAAGTTCACGACAGCCTGTAACTCGCCCGCGCTTGAAAGGCCAGGGACTAGGCTGGGAATACCCCGTATTCGACGACTGGAGAATCACCGTCCGTGTGGTGTTTTTTTTGGACAGACCGCTACGAACTCGCCTCGATTTGGTGAAACTTGATTTACAAATGAAGGTGACGAACAAGCAAATCAATCAAGCAGGGAGGAAAGGACATTCCCCCACACGTCAGTTATCCATTGGTCAGACTGTCATGGCACGTAACTACAGTGGGAAAGACAAGTGGCTACCAGGCATTGTTCGAGCTCAAATGGGACCCCTTTCATACGAGATAGAAGTTGGCTCAAATCGAATTTGGCGACACCACATCCATCAGCTTCGAGCCTCCAGTGTGAAACTGAATTAAATTACCAGAGTGACAATACGGCTGAACCTCATCCAGAACTGAGAGAGACTGGCCAGAATATTACACCAGCAGAAGAAATTGTCGCAGAGCCGGATATCGAACTATAGCCACGATTCCCCCAGTAGTACAACAAGTAGAAGCAAGTAGGGCTACAACAGATCTGAACAACGTACGTTACCCAACTAGATCACATCAACCACCCGAGAGGTCGGGTCTTAACTGTTTGATCCGAAAACTGTTTGTTAAGAAAACTACATGGAGAACTGCTTTATTACTTACTGTTATGGTTAGCATAATTGTTCGAACACGATAATGAACTCATGAACAATATTTTATGATACGTTCCTTAAGAGGGGAGATGGTGTTATATATATATATATAAAATAGCCTTTTTAAAACACGGGCGCTGGTTGGTCAAAAGCTCAAAAAACCCGTGTTTCTATAACTCGATAGAAACACGGGGAATTTTCACGCGGGTTGCGTGGATTGCGCGCGAGTTTAAAAGACAAAATACAAACAATATTTAATTTTGAAAAAAGTTGAAAAACGACCCGAAACGTGAAAGTTTGGGAGAAACTCGAAATTGCGTGGAAACACTTGCACTTTGTGGTCGTGTTCCCACGCAATTTCGAGTATATATATATATATATATATATATATATATATATATATATATATATATATATATATATATATATATATATATATATGTACTATTTAAAGCACGCGTAGGAGTGTTTTATCACATATAAAACACGACGCGTAGCGGAGTGTTTGATATGTGATAAAACACGACTACAAGTGCTTTAAATGGCTTAAAAAACGACTCATCTTATACGAGTTCATTGGCGAAGTAATTTTTAAAATAAACTTTGTCTAAACCGAGAAACTCAAAGCTAAAGTTTATGTACTATTTAAAACACGAGTTGGAGTGTTTTATCGCGTTTTATATCTGATAAAACACGACAACGAGTGTTTTGAATAGCTTAAAATACGACTACAAAAGAATACTAATTAGGATGAACCATAATATAATCATGCTAATTAAGATGAACAATTATATAATGCCACATGTGTTTTATCAGATATAAAGTCACTCCACGTGACATGTTATGGCTGACATGATTTGCCACAAGGTTTATGAAGTATTAATGAGTATTTTAAGTAAATTAACATGATTTTTTATCACATATATAAAACCACGACACGCTTATGATTTTTCTTTGTGTTTTGCTATATATATATATATATATATATATATATATATATATATATATATATATATATATATATATATATATATATATATATATATATATATATATACCATGAGCTCGAATCGTATATGAGCTGATCACCGACGAGGTTATCGGCCTATCAGCCATATACGACGAGAGCGAAATAATCAATGGTCTAATTGTTTTATAATATAGTCTATATAGCCATTAACTGAAGCAATAATTAATTATCCTCTGTTACAATGTCTTGACAATTAGTTTTGCCAAAATCCGCTTGGCCTTGAAAATTTGAAATACTTTTGTTTTACAACTCGAAGACGAAGGGAGCGTTTCTTTTGTAAATCTAGATTTCGATTTTTAGGATTCGGATTTTTTGGATTCGTTAAACAAATAGAACGAATTGTGAGAATCGGAATTCGCCTGCCGTTTTCCCGCCAAGATTTCTGTCCTACTATACCTTTCGGTAAGATCAAGGTACATGCTAGAAGGCCAAAAGCTCAAAAGGAACGTTGAATCCTAATCGAGTTTCAGACTGAATCCGAAAAATCCATATATTGAGGGTGGGAAAGGGTATTTTCGTGACCCGTGAATGGTGAATATTTGTTCGTGTAAAATGTGAAATGCTTGATTTTAGTGTCGTGAAATGTGATTTGTTCTGCAGCCGTGAGGCGTGATTGTTGATAAAAATACTCCGTGAAATGAGAATTAAGGATGCCTGTTTCGCGAACTGTGATTATTATAGTGATTATTATAATAAACATGATACGCGATAATCAAATTTATATGATCTCACTCGATTGCACAAGAGTAAAAACTTCGGAGGCCTTTCGCGAGGTTCCTGACGCTGAGGACAAGGTTCCTGGCGGTGAGGACAAGGTTCCTGACGCTGAGGACAAGGTTCCTGAGGCTGAGGACAATGTTCCTGACGCTGAGGACAATGTTCCTGACGCTGACAACAATGTTCCTGGCGCTGAGGACAAGGTTCCTCGCGGTGAGGACAATATTCCTGGCGCTGAGGACAATGTTCCTGGCGCTGAGGACAAGGTTCCTGGCGCTGAGGACAAGGTTCCTGGCGGTGAGGACAAGGTTCCTGGCGGTGAGGACAAGGTTCCTGGCGGTGAGGACAAGGTTCCTCGCGGTGAGGACAAGGTTCCTGGCGGTGAGGACAAGGTTCCTGGCGCTGAGGACAAGGTTCCTGGCGGTGAGGATAATGTTCCTGGCGGTCAGGACAAGGTTCCTGGCGGTGAGGACAAGGTTCCTGGCGGTGAGGACACTGAGGGTCCTGGCGGTGTGGAGAAGGTTCCTGGCGGTGAGGACAAGGTTCCTCGCGGTGAGGACAAGGTTCCTCGCGGTGAGAACAAGGTTTCTCGCGGTGAGGACAAGGTTCCTCGCGGTGAGGACAAGGTTCCTCGTGGTGAGGACAAGGTTCCTCGCGGTGAGGACAAGGTTCCTGGCGCTGAGGACAAGGTTCCTGGCGGTGAGGACAAGGTTCCTGGCGCTGAGGACAAGGTTCCTGGCGCTGAGGACAAGGTTCCTGGCGCTGAGGACAAGGTTCCTGGCGGTGAGGACAATGTTCCTGGCGCTGAAGACAAGGTTCCTGGCGGTGAGGACAATGATCCTGGCGGTGAGGACAAGGTTCCTGGCGGTGAGGACAAGGTTCCTGGCG